TTTTTTTTTTTTTTGCTATGGGGTGCATGTGCTCACCAGAAAGACAGAGACAGAGAGACAAAGTGAGAAATCATCCGCCGGCGGAATGGCCACACTGCAATCCCTCCCCCTCCATTTTCCTCTAGGATCTTGGATACACACGCCCGGCATGAGTTTAAGCCGCCAGGTCCAGGACTTGAACTGCAGTCAACTACATGGGAGTCCAGTGACATAGCCATTACGCCATCTGCTGGTCCCTCACCTACATTTCTTATCTATCCCTACTTCCGTCTTTGCTCCAGCCACACCCCAGCTCCAGTCCTGGTTAGTAAGATGGTGGAAGCAGGTGCATCCTCCTGCCCATGCAGTTCTCGGAGCCCAGTGGTGCTCACTGACTGGCTCCTGGCTGTAGGTAATGCCTTTTCTCCCCTGACCAGGGGCTTTGCCAGGGCCAGGACCACCAGTGACAACAGCTGTCTGTAGAATTCAGATTTTGCTTTAGAATGCTCCCAGGCTAATGTCAGCTGATCATAATGAACGTTAAGAATTCCAAAAGTGCTCACCTCGTTTTTCAGGCAAAGGACAACTGAGGGCTCAGTGGCAAGTGAGTAACCATGGCAGTCACTGTGTTTATCTGCACCAACGCAAGCTCACAACCCTAAATCACACCCATGTCATTTCTCGTTCGCTTGAAGAAGGAAACAAGGTCTCCTTTTCAGCTTCTGTTCAGTCTTGGTCCAATGATAAATGTTTTCTTTCCCCAAACCCACCCTGGAGCACGGGGGGTAACAAAAGCCAGTCAGCCTAACCTTTGATCTTTGCCAGTGCAAACCTAGAAGTACACGGGCTCCCATCTTTTGTATAATCTAACAGAAAATGAGAAAACTTTTTTTGGAATTCAAAACACATGAGTCACATTATAACATGCATGTGACTAAGCTGACGACGTGCGATTCTAACTGCTGTGTTAGCCAAGAGGGAAACGGGCAGGGCCTCGGTCACACCCACCCTCGCTCGTGGCTGCAGGATGCTCACACCTCAGCAGAAATGCAGGGTTCCCCAGCATGGAAACGCTCAACGGCAATGTCGTCTGTCAGTAGGGAGGTTAGGAGACCCTGAGGAGTGTTTGCAACCGATGGGTAAGTTCGTATTTATTCTTCAATGTCCTACAAAAAGCAGCTTGTCACTTCAAACCAGTCGTACCCTCGACACAAAGTTGAAATTCATTTATTTTCCGGGAAATACAGGCATCTAGGTCAGTAAGTTCAAATGCGCATGTTCCGTGTGAGCCTTCTATCCCGGGGCTCTGGTCTCCGGCAGCACCTCTCTGCAGCCTCACCACACGAAGGCCGCCCGCTCCCGCAGCATGCGCACGCCGAAGCGCTGCCACTCTCGCTGGTAGATCCACAGCTCCTGCGTCGTGTCCAAGCAGGCCAGCACCGCCCCGCCCTTCCACGCGATCAGCCGTGGATCCATGTCCTGCAGAGGCGACACCCACGCTGCAGCGTAAGCAGACAGGACTCACACTGGACCGCTGACTTCGACACGGGGGTGGGAAAAGCCCCACTCAGGCCCGGCTGGTGGCACAGTAGCTGGAGCTCACAAGGCCGACCGCAGTTTGTGTCCAGGATCCAGCTGCTTGAAAAACATGCTTGAAAAACGTGCGTGCATGCGTGCCCAAAATCGTGAGAGAAGTGGAGAAGGAACTCCAGCATGACCATCCCTTTGGGGGAAAGTGTTTCTCACCCCCTACCCCCTCTCTCCTGCCGGTGCACAAGTCCTAGGACACGTTTAAGAAGAGAAAGCCAGCCCTGCTCGCACAGTGCCTGTTGAATCACTTTCCACCTGCGTCAAACAGCAGGGCTCTCTAACTAGACAGCCTTCTGTTTCTACTGACAAGAGAACTTTTTAATGTTTATGACTGAAGACTCTCCTATTCACTTCTGTTCCACAAACAGTCAGGCCCTGGATGCAGGAACATTTATAAATAATTTATTCTGAAGCTTCAGGGCCATAAACACACCCCGATAAGCCCTGTCTTGGGATTAAAATGAATTGACATTTTTCAGGAATGTCACCGAGGTTTAATGAGACATTGACACAATCTATTTCAAAATTCCGGGAACCAGCAGTTAGCGTAATGGCTATGTCGCTGGATTCCCACGTAGTCGACCGCGGTTCGTGTCCCGGACCCGGTGGCTTAAAACCCACGCCGGGGGGAACCAGCAGTTAGCGTAATGGCTATGTCACTGGACTCCCACGTGGTCGACTGCAGTTCGTGTCCCAGACCCGGTGGCTTAAAACTCACGCCGGGCGCGTGTGCGTGCGTGCCCAAGATCCCGAGAGGAGAATGGAGGAGAAGGGATTGCGGCGTGACCATCCCCCTTGGGGGGTGATTTCTCGCTTTCTGTCTCTATGTCTCTCTCTGTCTCTCTGGCAAGCGCACGCGCCCTACAGTGAAAATCTCTCAAAAAAAAAAAAAATTCCTAGACTTTCTTTTCAAGAGAGTTCAAGCCAAAACAATCCTCAAAGACCACCTGGTCTAGGAACAGATCCTTACTGAGCATTTTAAAAATGGAGCTGTGGGACCAGCAGGTGGTATAATGGTTACGTCACTGGACTCCCACATGGCTGACTGTGGTCTGAGTCTTGAACCTGGAGGCCTGAAACTCATGCTGGGTGCATGTGCACGAGAATCCCGAGAGGAGAACGGAGTAGGGATTGTAGCATGGCCGTTTCACCCAGGGAGGAGGATGATTTCTTACAGCAAAAGTCCCTCTCTCTCTCAAAAAAAAAAAAAAAAAAAAAAAAAAGCAGCTGTGTGGCTGGCAGGGGACAAGAGGGCAAGAGGGCAGTCTCTATTCCTTTCCCAGGTTCTTCTACAAAGGTGCAAGTCAGTCCCCCTCACTGGGAGAGCCCGGCAGGGACTAGCACCAGAAATGCAGAGCCCTGGACAGCAGCTCCTGCCACCACACCTGTGACCTGCTGGAAGTAATTTTTCCACTTGCCCAAGCCCTTGAGAACTCCCAGACACAACGCACGCCAGCCAAGGTTTCATCTGTCCACACACGATGTCGCAATTGGAAAGAATCAACGCTGCTTTCACCTGCATACAGTCCAAGTGGCACCACGAATCCACATACCTTGGGCCGTGTGATCACATCCACGTTTTCAATAATTCGCCGGAAGGAAGGTGGCATTTTGTTGAGGATTCTGTGCTGCAGAAATTCCTGAGCTTTGTGAAACATCAGACCACCTCCCACCACCAGGATGGAGCTGTACATCTTCTTCTTGGTATCGTCTGATGCTGTAATGACAGTGAGAGCCCCCTGCACCGTCTCTCCACACCCACCAGCATGCTAGGACAGGCCCCTCATCTCCCGCTTGGACAACCCTAACAGCCTTCCCAAAGACCTCCCTCCACCTCCCTCAGCACGACGGCCAGAGGAGGCTGGGGAAGCAGGGGTGCAAGCATGAGGCTGCCTCACCTCCACACCCTGCCTCACGCAGGGTAGGAAAACCTCGTAGGGAGCCAGAGTCCAGCAGAGGGTAGTCCTCACCCACTTCTCTAGCCCCAGCCTCATGCCCTGCTTCCCAACCCTGCTGCACTGTGCGAGTCTTTTCTGTGTGAAATGCCACTCCTTGGGCCTGCTAACCCCACTCACCTGTGAGACCTCTCTCTAGTGGCTCCTCCTCAGGGAGGCCTTCCCTGCCTCCCACCCTCTGCACCTCCTCCTAGTAAGTAACCCCCTTAGGAAACGCCTCCATCAGAAGCTCTCAGTCAGAACCCTTTACGTCACCGTGTAGCAGCTGCCACAGCTGCAACTTCGCACTGGTGTGACGGTTTGACTTAATCGGGCCTCCTCCGAGGCCATATGCCAGTGAGGCAGGACCCCACTCCATTTCGCGACTGTGTCCAGCACCTGGAGTGCAAGCACAGCGGAGGTTCTGAATGAGCGGGCTACACTGCACACCTACACCCTGGGCTGAACCAGCGCGGTCTGCTGTGACCTCATCTGGCATCTCCCAGTCTCCCCAGATGCGCTTACAACAGCAGTCTATGCTATGGAGGATGGCTTTATCGAGGCCCAGGGCTTTCCCTTCAAACAGCGAGATGGCAGTCTTCCTCGACATCAGTGCAGTGAGGGCCTCCTCAGAATCATTGCCGGCCATCAGGCAGTCTGCCTGGGAGGACCCCAAGTCCACCTCCTGGGCATGGAGCCTTTCTGGAAGATCCGAGGACTGGCCACGAAGATCTCCTTCAAATCCAATGGGTTTGGATGCAGACTTGCGGTCAGCAGTCGCTTTTGCAGACTTTAAATGAAGTAAAAGGACCAAGGAGTTGATGGTCTGACTACATGGGCCGCTATGATGCTGTCAAGCTACGTCCCACCCTCCCCGTCCTGCTCTGCCACCACACGCAGCCCACCCTCCCCGTCCTGCTCCACCATGACACGCAGCCCACCTTCCCTGCCCCGCCACCAAACACAACTGTAAGATGAAAGCCACCGCTTACACAGACAACCATCCGCGCCTGCTCCCCGCTAAGGTAAAGTGAGCATACAGAGGTGACGAAGCCCTATTGCGGCCATGCCACTGGGGCAGGGCAGGGCAGGGCACAGAACCTTACTACCACATGGGTCAGATTTAAAAACCGCAATGTCCTGTCCCTAGGATTGGGTGTGGACAAAGGACTTCAGCACTTTGCCCGTGCCACATACCTTTCACATTATAATTAAAAGATACGTGAGATTTGGGCCCAGCAGATGGCATAACGGTTATGTTGCTAACTCCCCTGTAGTCAACCGCAGTTCGAGTCCCAGACCCACTGGCTTAAAACTCACACTGGGTGCATGTGCGTGCGTGCCCAGAATCCTGAGAGACTGGAGGAGAAGGGATTGCAGCGTGGTCATCTGTCTCTTACATATATAAGTAAGACATATATATATATACACACACACACACACACATATATATATGTGTATATATATATATATATAAGATTTCACTCAAAGTATGACCGGATATTCAGAGGTCAACAGTGTAAGTAAACAAAATATGCCAAAAGGAAAGTTTCTTCATTAACTTAACTTTTAAGTGGGAACTAGTATTCAGAAAACTGAACAACTGTCTGTGGAATAAAGAAATCTGTCTTCCAGATTCAATTCCGACTTCCTTTCATCCCCAGCTGTAGAAAGCATCAGCATTACCCTGTTGGGAGGTCGCAGGGGTTGCAACCACTAACTCTGAGCATGCTTCCCCTTCAGACTCAGGACTGCCCACCCCCCAGAACTGCTGCAGACCTGCTCCTGCTTGCTCTGCGTGGCCAGCAGGTAATGCTCGTCATGAGGATCCTCGGGGTCGCCCTGGGATCTGTGCTGCAAAGTTGTCATTTTTTGTCCAACTATTCCAAAGGTTGCTGGATAAAACAAAGCCATGGGAGCCTGTGTGCAGAAAGGAAAGGGTGGTCGACAAAAGATACTCCTTCCTGGAAAAAAATCTGACCTGCTAAATTCTGGTTTTCCAAAAACAAAACGGGCAGGCACTGGGAAGTTGGACTGGGCAGCATTCTCTTTGGGGAGTGGCATTATTTCTCCGGTGCGTGCCAGAACAGAAAACTCATTCGTCATCCGACAGAATGAGTGGCATGGCAGCACATGAGAAATCTCAAAGCATGTGTGAAATTAGAGCCTCCTAATCTACCCCATAATTTTTTAACGGTGATGGTGCTTCTCTAATAACAAGTTGCCACACGGTGGCTGATTAAAAAGGTCCTCAGGTCTGTCCTAATCTGTATTCTGCCAGCGGCTTCCAGGTTGGTCGAGTGGATCACGTAATACAAGCAGCTGACATCCTGACCTCAAGACGTGTCCCACTCTCTTTTGACAGAAGCTGGACGGCTTACCTTTGACCCGTGAATACGTGCACCTGTGCATTACCTGGAGTTTTTCATCTCCTAAGCGAAACTGGTATAGCAAGGCAGGAGAGTCTGGATGTCGAATCTGAAACTCATGGTCCTGAAGCCCAGAGATGTCCTGATTCCAGGAAAAGATGCCATCAGTCATCAGTAAGAGTGCATGCAAAGTCCTCAGGTTACGCGTAAGTGCCCAGGGGCCTGCATCTCACCTACGAACAGGCCACCCTGCAGCTCACCACTCTGGTTATAACTTAATGGAACGAGAGGCCAGCTATACTTTCTTTCCCT